TTTATTTATTTATAATTTTTATGTATTTATTTAATATTATATTTATAATTACAAATTTACCATTACTGTTAAATTCATGTATATATATGCACATATAGTGGATTTGATGTTACATGTCTCTAAATATTTAAGCATTCTTACATCAATTTTTCAATTAAAGTAACTTTTTAGGTAGTATAGTACATATAGAAAATTTCTAATTAACATGTGTTTCAAACCTTATCTTAAATAAAAATGATTTTGATTAAGTTTAGAATTCTTTAAGTATACATTTTATCTTATTCTTGTTACATTTTAATGTTCGATGTGAAACAATTACACACGTGGATATGATGAACCAACAAGATTAATACGTAAATGTCAATTTTTGAACCATATGAATATATATATATATATATAAACAAAAGGAGTATCATTCTTTTTTATTATTATTATTATTTTATGGAAGAACATAAAAATAAGCTTCTTGGCTTGAGAAATTGAGGAGTGATTGGATTTGGTTTAAGAAATTCGGCCTTCTTAAGTCTTATATTTCGGTAGTGGACAGGCCCAACACTAGCCCGTAAAGAAACCCAATTCGGAAGAAAATGCCATTGACCTTGACTTTGGGCTAGGCTACCCCAAACAAACATTTCCAAGTCAGAAGCCCATTCTTCACCACCTAGCAACCGGGCTTCAGTTCCAAGCCCAGTTTCGGTGTATATTCCCCATCCCCTGGCCCTGTTGCGGTTGCCTTGTATAAAATAAAATAAAATAAAATAATCTTTAATATTTATAATTCTCTATACATTGTTACTTCCATTAGGATATGCTTTGTAAATATTTGTGAATTAGAATGTAAATGAGTTGTGTGCATTTATAAATTATTATAACATTTTTTATTATTATTAAAGACTCTTGTGAATTTTTATTAAGAAAAATAAAAAAATTTCGTAAAAGTAAATATATAATTTTTTAAAAATTTCCTAATTGAAGGTATAATACTTTTTTGTAACTACTCATGGTTCCTTCATTTTCAAATTTTCTAATTAAATATATAGCTTTTACAATTTTACTAATAAAAATTTAAGCAAATGTGCCTGCTAACACGACTAATGGATTTCACTTAAAACTTAGTCTACTTCTAGTCTTTTTAAATGGTGGCAACTAAATCAACATACATATTTGCTTAATTTTTAATTAATAAAATTATAAAGGTCATATACTTTGTTAAAACTCTTCAAAAAGTAATAGATATCATTAATTAATTACCAAAAATAATCAACTCTTCAATTAAAATTTTTTTAGAAAATTATATCTTTATTTTATCGAATCTCAAATTTTAAAGGAATATTTCATCTCTAATTTAATTTTATGATATTGACTATTCTGACAACTAGAATCAAGAATGTTCATATTTTATCATCAATGCAAAAGATTCTAGCATCTCATGCTTACAGGTTGGCTAATTTTTTATTTTTTATTTTTTGGACTATGAGG